AAAATAATGAAGGGCTTCAGATCCACCCTATGGTCTTCTCCCCATCCAGGAGGTGAATCATGATGTCTGGTACAGTTTAACAAATGTTGTTATTTGGGTATTTTTTTTCCAAAAGGGAACATGTTTCTCATGTAGCAATCTTAATGGATACAACTGGGCTCCATTTCTTGGCTTTGAGGTAATGAAAAATTGTCATGCTTTACAATAGTTTCTACTCACAGCACTCCCTTAGAAGTAAATATATCATAAATAGTAGCTATTATTCCAACGGCTGGTAGCTTGGGCAGCCTGTCGTCCATAAACCCTTCTCAACAGACATATTATTTCTTCTGGGGGAACCAACAGATTTGTTTTAGATCAGAGAGTCAACTGACAGATGGCCTTTGTGAAAACACACCATTTGTATAAATAAATCATAGTTTTACGATGGTGTTCTGCATTCGTAGATTTGGGAAATCGATTGCTCCTCCCCCCCCCCAATTCTTTCAAATGATCCTAAACTAGAAAGAGCAATTTTGTTTCAGTGCAAGGTCACATCGCATGACCTATCAACACAGATGCCAAGGTCCAAATTCTCTGGATGCCGTCACTTCCCATTACATGCTGCAGAGCTCTGCCTAGAGATAACAGGATGATCTCCCAGAGCACATCGTTGAGCTGAGCAAGACTGGCCCCCTGCCCCTTAGCTTTGGGTTCTGTGTCTGCTAAACTTAATAATACCATGTGCCTTATTTTCCTAATCCAAACTTTTCATAATTGGGACTGACAGTGTATTAAAGGCCAGAAATACCTCCTTTTCCTTTACAATACAGTTCATCAGTTAAATACTAAATAGTTGGTAGATTCCTGTCGATCAAAACCAGCCTTACTCTGAGCCTACTGTAATTTCTGACACTGTCCATCTTATAACTATATATAATGTAACACTCACATCAAATATTTACATAGTCATGCACACACACAAACACACAGATATGCATCTGTGAACACTCACTGGTGCAAAGCTCAAGGTTTACTATCCCAAAGGATCATTTTTTTTTTCAGAATCAAGATTAGGAAAATGCTTCTTTTGCTAAAATACCAAAACATTCATTTCATCCAGAGATGTTAAGACTCAGTGGGCATTGCTGTCCTTCATTCACAGGTGTTATCTTCCTCCAAAAATGATTCAAATTGTAAAACTTTTGGTTCTGGTCCAGGAAGTACAAGTTTAACACTAATTGCATCCACTGTTCAAAACAGAACAACATAAAAATGTGCATGCTTCTAGTTTTAAAAAATTAATCAGATTGCTTGTGTGGCATTTTTCTAGCTCTACAATACTTAGAGGCACTTGGGAGGCTGGGACAGGATGATCTTCAACTTGAGTCTAGCCTAGGCTACATGGGGAGAAAAAGGATATGTTGGAAACCCCTATTTATTTTTTAAAAATAAATGAGATGCTGTTTAATCTAGTGCTTGTGTGCATTTAAATCCTCAGACACACGTAGTTATTTCAAGTTATGTAAATTGATGCTTTAATGGACTTGATTCTCCATCCAGGGTTGCCCACCTAACATCCACAGAAGAGCTGAACCAATAACTTGCATCTGTTCCTGTGACACTCCTAGCAATCTCAGGTTACTTCAAAGGAAATCAGAAACTCTCAAACAAAATTAATCTGGTTATACAAATCTCTCTCTCTCTCTCTCTCTCTCTCTATCTCTATCTCTCTTACACACACACACACACACACACACACACACACTTACATATGTCAAGTATAAATACTTATCTATATGCAAAGTCTTTCTTGGAAGATGCAAAGGTAAGAAATCAACAGGTAATTGCTCATAAAGATCCTACAGAGGTAATATGATCTCATTACAGTGATTGGATTAGAGCAAATCATGGAAAACCAAAGTCTACTCACTTCATACAATATCATACATGGATTATAAGACTTCTAAGATTACAAGAAAAAAACAGGAGGTCAAAAGTTATGGAGCTACATTTTAAGATCTTTGCATTTTTATTATCAATAAGTTATACAATGGAATTTCATTTTGTCATGTACATACAATGACCAGGATCAGACTCTCCTTTTCCATTGCTTCCCTCTTCCTTTTCTTCATTTCCCAAACTAACTCAACAAGCTTCATTCTTCCATTTCACATATGTACATAAAGTATTTTTACCCATATTTATTTTCCATCCCTCCACTCACCCTCTCTAGATAGTACAGGATCCTAAATAGTACCTATCTATTTAGTACATCCCTGTCTTTTTTTCTTTTTGGTGTATGTTATTTGCTTTTAAAAAGCTACATTGGAGGTGTATTGATTTTGAATTACTAGTTGATCCAATAGGACATGAACCCAATTGCATGGCTGACTTATTGGATCCATTTTTTATCCTCATCTCTAAGTTATGCTACATGCCTAGTTCTGAATGGTGAAGCAATTCATCCTGCATCTCAATAAACTTTTACTAGACATCCGTGTTGCTAATGGAGCTGACTCAAAATCAATATATGTATTTATCATGTTATACATACACAGGTCAAAGGTTAAGAAAATATTTTCCATGAAGTTGTAATCAACCATACCTCTTATAATTAGGCTGCTTGCTCACTTTGTGCAGATATGTTGGGAGGAGTCCAGGGGGCTCTCAATCATGTGAATAATACAAAATCCCTTTGCTTAAAGCAAATGCACTTCCTCACCATCAGATTAAGATGATGATTGACAGAATGAACCTGCTGCCTCCTAATTCGGTGGACAAGCTTCTCACCTACTCCCTGCCTCAGTTTCTCAATCAAGTAGTGCCTAGCCCTTAGAATAGTTGTAAGGATAAAATGAGTTAATAAGGGTGAAGAACACCTAGTAAATTCTCAGTAAATGTGAGCTCTTATCACCATTTATAAAGACTTCACAGAAATTTCCTGAGGAACTTTTTGAGATCACAGTAGAATTCAAGATTACTGGTAAATTTATCATCATGTCCACTATTTTAAATGTATCTTAGTTATCTACTGTTCTCTCCATGGTAGATGTATATGTGCATGCATGCATGTGTGCATGTGCACAGGTACTGGGGCTTGAACCTCAGCCATTATCATTAGGTATCCAGGAATGTTGTGGCAGCTCTGCCAGATTTCTTCCCATAAAAAGAAGAGTGACCTCTCTGATTCCTTCTAGTATAAAAGTATTATAAAGCTGATGGTCCCCTTGATTCTCTGAATTGTGACTGCATCTTTGCCAGATAAACCTGACTTTACAATGGTTAAGCTTATGATTTTTCAACTTTACAGTGATTTTCCAATTCTACAATGGTGTAAAAACAATGTCATTCTGTGTAGTACAATGTTCTTGAAGTTTGGATTGTTGATCTTTTCCCAGGCTAGCCCTATGCAGGGTCATCTTCTCACCATCTGAGCAGCTCAGCAGCAACTGCAGGTTGCCAGGTATTCAGAAAACAGCTGGCTCTCTACAGCAGACCCCATTGACAAGCCAGGACACTCAGTAGATTAGATGCACATGAATTTCTTGAATTCAATTTATAAGGTCTTTCTGGTAACATAATCCCACCCTAAGTGGGAGGAGCATCTGCGTTTGAAGAAATCATGCTGAACCAAACAGGAGAAGGCAGGCTCATAAATTTCCTGCCCTTAGCCTTTCTCAGGATCGCATACAACCAAATTCTAGAATGAAACAAGTTACACGAAAACCTAAAAACCAAACCAAACAAACAAGAAAAGACTAAGTGTATCATTTTTAATGGGAAATTACAAGGAGAACATGAGCCTAACACCACAGAGTGGGGGTAGGGCCAGAATAGGAGGGAGTATTTAGGACAAGCAGTCCTAGAAGGCTCCAGGTCTCTCTTGAATGTTGGCCTGATGATTTTTAGAAATAAGAAGAGAGGTGGGCATTTCTTCTAGAAATGGGAACAGAAGCTACAAGGAGGTACTCTAGGGTCTCATTGGAAATCCTTCAAATATGTCTCATGGAAAAGAAGTCTTTATCCTGCCTAGACTTGACAAGTAGTTCAGGAGACCAAGAATAGTGAGACCACATGTAGAAAAAAAGGGGTTAGGAAGAAGAGTATGGATGTGTCCTCTACTAAGAATATGGGGTTCAAGGGAGTCAGAGAAGCCATGAGGTTTAATCAAAAGAGGTTTGTTTATAGTTTCCTAATGTATGCATGATAGGTGACACTGGAGAGGAAGATGTCTGATTCTTCAAGAAAAGAAAATCATGAGTTCAAATGCACATAATCTTAATAGTCAATGAACACATCTGAAAATGGAACCAGAAAACTTGAGGAGACAAGTGGGGATGGAATGGGTGGGGTGGGGAGAATAGTGGAAGGAATGGCTCTGACAGACATATTGTACACGTACACACACACACACACACACGGACCTGTTACATTGGAACTCTTTAAAGATAATACAAAACCCACAGGATCAAAAGCACGATCTATAAATGCCAGCCACTGCCATGATTAGGTCATATAAATCCCCTGAGGTTGTACGCATTTGGGCTCTGCCTACCCATCTATGCAATCATAAACTTCAGTCACCTAAGGGCCCCTTTGCCCATAGAGTTACAACTTTATAGTAGCAAATATATATATATATATATATATATATATAGTATTACCAAATAGTAGTTAATGCCTTTGGAAAGCATCCATTTGGCCAGTGGTGAAGAATTGTTATCACTTGGGTGGGTTCAAAATGTTAAATATATGTGTGCATGTATATATATATATATATACATATATATTCATTGGATTTATTAAGAAGATATAATGGGAAATATGGATGATGCCACAGCAAGTTAGGATTTTTGCCCCCCAAAAATAAACACATTCCTTTGGCCCTGTAGTCAGGGGCTCTTGCCAGTTCTCCTGATACAAAAGATCTCCTCTAAGGATGGAGCAGCTACTAATGTCATTGTCACACCTGAATTTGTCCATGCCCCTGCCCAACTACACAAACGGTGTGAGTTTCCTAGAAAATAATAAAAATTGCTCCTTCAGACAATACCTCTGTGCTAACCTCAGTACCCTTTAGAAGATGACAAATTAACGCACAATTAAAAATCACATCCACACACACGGTGTGACCCACCAGAACACACATCTGCTATTCCAAGTATGACACAACAACGGATTCTAAATCGATGTTAATTTATAAAAAGCGGCCAGGCATTGGAGATACATTCCCAGTTCTCGGAGCTGTGGCCGCCCTAGGCTAGCTTCCCGGTGGTGGACACAACGTCGGTGTGTTTTGTTCTTATCGAAGGACACGAGAGGAGCCTCGAAGGTGGCTTTTCTCTCTCTCGATCGCTTGCCCGGGTTCATCCTCTAAAGCTGTCCCCAGCATGGGCAGATGAACACCCACGCCTCCTTCTTCCCACCAAGGTGGATCTTGGCTAACAGGAAAGCAGACTGGGTGGTGACCACAGTGCCTTTGTGTCCTCGGATCTGGGGCAAGGCTCAGCTTAGTCCCCGGCAGATCGGCGGAGGCCGCGCGCGCCGTTTCCTCATTAATGCCCCTGAAGGACAATAGCTCATCAAGCCCCACCGAAAGCCCCAGGCCCGTGGCGGAGCTTGGGCTGGCGGGGGCTGAGGCTGAGCGACTCCTCCTAGAGGTGGTTATGTGGAGAAGGAGCAATCCCTTCTCCCTCCTCCTCCTCCCCCCGCTACGATCCGCGGCCCAGAGAACTGCCGCTTGCCGCCATTGACACGCACAGATAAAACCCAAAGAAAGGCAAAGAGTCCTGCCCCGCACCGGCGCTGCGCGGGCCGAACCTGCGCCCGGGGAGGGGCGCGCAGAGGGCACCGGCGCCCGGAGCAGGGGGCGCAGCACCAGGTGAGCCCGCCATGGCGGTGGCATTATTGTTTAGGAGCTCTGGGGG